AGCTCGTAGTTGTTGATGAGTACAAACGTACTGTCAATGATAAATAGTCCGACAAGGTAATTCCAACTTCGACCAAAAGAGCAATCGATGGATTCAACTCCGTTGGCCAGTGATCGCGAAATTAAGACACATCTTCTCTTCAGGTATACCTCAAAACCTGAAAACTAGATTGTACAATCAGTTCGTGTTGCCAGTGACGGCATACGGAACTGAGACGTGGTCCTTCACTGCTGGCCGTATGAGGACGCTTAAGGTCGCTCAGCGAGCTATGGAGTGGACTAGCTCGGGGTTGCTCTGCGTGATAAACTTAAAAATGAGGCTATCCGCAGTAGAATCAGAGTGACCGATATAACTCAACGAATTAGTAAGCTGAAATGGTAATGGGCCGGCGATATAGCTCGAAGAACCGCCAACCGATGGGAAAAAAGGTTATTGAGTAGCTGCTTTGTACTGGTAGGCGTAGTATAGGGCGACCCCCACTAGATGGAATGACGACTTGGTTAGACATGCAGAAAATTAACCCAACAATATTTTTAGCCACATGACTTTTTCCGTTCCCTAGCAACTCAAAATAACTGTCTGTTTTCATTAGTCAATTTTTCATTCATATATATTTTTATTTAGGGTATGTCTTTCACTTTCATAACTTACCGACTATGTTTTACGGTGAGTGCCAACTCGTGGATATCTCATCAATGTGATCATCACTCAAGTGGACTCCCAATGTAGAAGTAGTTACTAGAGTAATTTGACTAGGAATCTCAATCTCGTATTCAGGGCTTGTTGTGACATAGATGGGATGCGTTCCTCCAACTAACGCATTGACGTTTCTAAGCCGATTTGGATTCTTTCCTATTTTTCCTGTGTTTGTTCGATATGATTGTCTTTCTTAATAATCTTGTATAACCAGAGAGAAACTAGCAAGACGAGAATTAATTTCAGCCCTGAGGCTATCCAAGTCGAACCGCATACCACGTATTTCATCCATTTTTAACTGCAATGTATTTAAATTTGGTGAGACAGAGTAATCTTGTCCTTTTACAGTGGATTTTCGGCGTTTTATTTTTTAAAGGAGCGGGTGACAAAGAGTGGATTGGTGAAGAAATGTTTCCGAAGTTCCTCACTGTAGCTCTGCATTCCGGAAAAGGCCAGTATGCAGTTTCGTCAGAAGTAATGTTTTATAGATCTGGCAAAAGTTAAGTCGTAGACTTTGTTACAGCTTTTTAGTACATATTATGGACTGACCAATCAATTCTTATCGACATCCAGCACAAATTATATTCTTTTATGGAAAAGATATGACGCCACAGTAATATTTTATAAGATATCGACAATATCGCTCTTGGTTGCACAAAGGATTTTCGCACTATGTAGCATGTATGTGCAAATGAATGCGGCGCTGAGTTTACCCACAATCACTAATCGCATCGCGCAAAGTAGTTACGAAAACATTAAGACGGGAACTAAGCACTCAGTGGGCGTAGCGCAACTGCCAGTCAGAGAGCGTAGCGTGAACACAGTATGCGCAAAGCAAGCAGACAATTCACCTTCAAACAAAAACCTTTCCGTGAGGTCTCCTGTTCGCAAAACTACTAGGTAGTAATAGTATTTTGTGTACCTACTCACTTATATCAAAACTAATCATAACTAACAAATCGAGCCCAAGCTCGGCACAATTAGTTCTTACTCGTCCAGGAGTTCCCGTAGTAGTCACTAAAGTACACTTTCAGATAACTCCATCATAACTAAAAAAATTAAACCAAACTCGACACACCTAGTTCTACTAGTCTACGAGTACCAGTATTAGTTACCGAAGTACACCATCAGATCACTACATCAAGTCCCGAGGTAAGGAGTAACAAATCGAGCCCAAACTTGGCACACCTAGTTCTACTCAGAGACGAGTTCCAACAGCGGTTGCCAAAGTACACCTTCAGATCACTCCATCAAGTCCGGAGGTAAAGTAATAACTATCAAAAAAACCAAACTCGGCACACCTAGTTCTATTAGTCCAAGAGTTCCCGTAGTAGTCACCGAACTACACCTTCAGGTCACTTCATCAAGTCCGGAGGTAAGGTTTTATCATAACTAACAAAACCAGCACGAAGTCCACAGCTAACATCTCACTGCCAGTAGAGGCCTCCAGTCTCTGGAGTAGGTATTTGTATTTCATATCTAAGTCTACTTACTCTATGTATCTAAGTATATTTTTGAGGTATAAGAAATCAAAAACAAATTCAACATTTCGGATTATTTTGATAATTCAAAATTATTTTATTTGAATCCGATTCCCGCAGCCAATTGGGCAAACACTTGTGTGACCCGTGTTAATGTAATATTTCGTTCGTTCTTAAACAATCTTAACGTAAATACTGCGGCAAAAAGAGCGACACGTCTATTTAATATAGCATGAGGCCAGTCAGTAGACATGGAGTTGCGTCCGGATCGCGCTAGCAGCCGGTCACGTCCGTCGATCGTCGACTCCCGCTCGGGTGGAAGAAGTACAGCTCGTCGCTTCGCAGTGGTGCATGTGATGTGGTGCCAACTCGGCTTGCGTCGAGCCTCGTGGACGCCCCTGACCCCTCCCCCGACGTTACATACCCAACGCTGCGTATAACCTACTATGCTGGGAAGCGAACTCCGAAGGCCCGGCGTGCTGGTAAAAGAGCGCGCGCCTGTTTGTGACTTCGGTTCCGCGTCGAGATGCGTCTCCGCGGGACCTGGAGGTCGCTGACCTTTCGGCAGATCTCTTCTCAGAGGCGCGAGATACGCCAACTTCTGCCTAGGAAACCACCAGGCCTTAACCTAGAGCCAGGGAGGAGCACTGGAGGCCCGAAGTGCTGCTATCAGGAGCGCACACCTGTCGGCAGGATTGGCCCTGCGTCGACTCCCTGTCTGCGGGACTCCGCGGGGCTTCGAGACTGCTGACCCTTCGGAAGCACCTACCTGGCGACGCGCAATACGCCAAAGCAGATAGCCTACTATGTCGTATAATGTACGGCTCCTAGGACCGGCCCATAGAAATGGGCTGTGAGGATTACCCGGGTAATGGGGAACACCCCGAGGCCCGAAAACTGCATGGGACGAACAACAGTAGTCCCTTCTAGACGACAACAAAAAAAAGCTGACATACATATGACGTACATATTATTTCAGAAATAAGAATATGCGATTAAAAAAATACTATTAGTTGGATTAAAAAATGAAAACGGTATTACATTAATATGTTGAATGTATAATAATCTGACAAAAATCATAATGAATGCAAAACCATACTATATATTAGTATGGTTTTTACTTGTTAAAAGAAAGTTTTAGAGGTATATCTGTGATATTTTACTTATTTCTATCAAAAGTATCAGGTTTTCAACACAATATCTAACTAGCATATATCGAGAAAAATATCATATAATTTTTTTGGGTTTGTTTATATACTTTGAAGCATTATAAAACTTGCGTTTAGTTCCATGCCTCGACTTAATAAAATTATTCAACTTCACACTAATTTCTTTACAGACTTAGCATTAAAGTGCGTAGTTATTTATATAGACGATGTTAAGTATATCAAATCATATATATGTATTGGATATGAATATCTGATATTGAATCTGTATATTTCAATATCTGTATATCGGTTAATATCTAAATATCTACGTAATTCTGTAATCCGGTAAGGTAAAATTATTCAACTTCACACTAATTTCTTCACAGACTTAGCATTAAAGTGCGTAGTTATTTATATAGACGATGTTAAGTATATCAAATCATATATATGTATTAGATATGAATATCTGATATTGAATCAGTATATTTCAATATCAGTATATCGATTAATATCTAAATATCTACGCAATTCTGTAACCCGGTAAGGAGTTCAGTATTCAGTACTACATAGATAATAATATAACATAAATTTTGATGGACTTTGTTTGCTTAGATTTATAGATATATTGTAATATCTAAGTTCTAGTTAATATTATAATGTTCTGAAATTATTATATCCTATTACGAAGTATTGGAGTAGGTATATAATCTATTTTACTTAAATAAAATATCACATCTTTTTTCACGCGCTAATGTTTCTTTTGGATTTCGTATTATGTATACAATAGATTTATTTTGTTTTTATAGAATAAGGGTGACAAACGAGCAGACAGTCCACCTGATGGTAAGTGAATGCTGAGGCTCATAGACATCCATCATCGATTAAGAATCAAAACGCAAATGTGTTGCCACCCTTGAGGACTAATGTGGAATGCCTCGATTCCATTAAAAAGGGTCACCGGTTCTCTACAATCACCATACCAAAAACAACATCATTAAGCTTCTATTTTATGCTGGTATTCTGTGAGAGCGTGATCTTTTACCATACGTGCCACATCCCACGACCCATACATCCATAATATAACTGCAGCACAGCTTTACATAAAAAATTGTATAAGTAATTGTAGATATTTTTACCTTTTTATTATTTATTCTAGTTTAATGTTAGATTCTCTGTAAAGTGATGCTGTACTTAAGCGGTATCTAATACATAGTCTGTTCACCAATTTATAGATATTCGATGTTGTACTGATATACAGGATTTCTATTGCCAACTTTGTGGCAATTCAGAGGTAGATTTATGAAGGGCTGTAATGATATTGATGAATAATTACACCTGATGTTTCGGTATTCCGTAAAAATACAGTTTGTGCTATGGCAACAATAGTCCTCCTATCATATATGATGAGATGATCAGATATGAACATAATTATGATGATTATGGCGATGACTGTTTATACACGCTGTGTGATTAAATAATGCATATCATAAAATAACAACATATTCATGCTGTTATTTAAGGTGGGGGACGAGAACCAAGTGGGGAATTCCATCTTGTTTCATCCAGGGGTTCAACGCATCCGTCTTTGTTTCCCGAGTAACATTATACTAACACAAATATTAACCTTTATTTAATTTATTAATTTATTTTACTAAATTATTTTATTATTTTACAGAGGAGATTCCGGCAGTGCTCTTGTCATCGAGAATAACAAGCAGATCGGCTTAGTGTCCTTCAGATTCACGTTACGCCCTGGTCTTGTATTTTACACTAACACCTCTTACTTTTACGATTGGATCAAAGAAAATTCGCAATTTTTATTACAATGTAAAATTAACAATGCCCAAAATGAGAAAAGACATTACTACGAATTGAATTAATATTCCTTTTAGCGTTAGTAAAGACAAAACTTGTAGATAGTTACTCGTATATAATAATGGTATTTAGGCAAGTTGTTCAACTATAGAAAAACTCCTTTAAATTCAGATACTATTATTCTTGGTAAATGATGTTCAATATTGTGTATATGTAACACAAACACCGTATTGATCATAACACACAGAATGTCAATAATAATAACCTGCCAAGTACGATTTAACTCGCACATGAAGTACCGTACCATGTTAAAACACGTTTATAGTAGGGGAGCCCCTTTAAATTCTTATTTATTTTTGATTTTTATTATTTGTTGTTATAGTGGCAACAGAAATACGTATTCTGTGAAAATTTCTACCTATTACTAAATGTCTACCTTTTACGGATCATAAAATACAGCCCACTGACAGAGAGACAGATGGACGGACGGACGGACAGCGGAGGCTTAGTAGTAAGGTGTAACCCTTCGGGTACGGAACCCTAAAATTGGTCAATACACCTTGTCTTTACACTCATAATTTAATTTTAAAATTATGTTAGTGCTTGGCCAGACTGCAAACGCGGGCACCGGAACGGATGCGGGCCGCGACGTGACTGTCCGCAGTGGATTGCGGCTTCGTTCCGAGTTTGGCCGTGATCATTGTTTGGAAAACTATAATATGGATGAAGAAGACTTATTTTTACAGGAAAGTTCCTACTTTAAATGAAAATGAGGGAGAATTTCACACATTTTATGTAAAATTGGGTGCGCAAACTCAAAACATTTTTTTTTGGATATAGGTGAATATCAATAGATAGGTTTGACTATATATATCAGAAAACATAGTAAATTGGCTTATAAAATAAATTCTTCTACATTTATTACCGAAGACGCCATTACAACGCGCGCGATTAGCTTGATGTGGTTTGAGATGCCCGCTCGTCGCGTTGTTAGCCGCTTGCCGCCCACGCACTCAATGCGGCCAATTGTATTTAACAATAGTTTGTATAAAAAAGTTGCCCGCGCGCTTCCCGCGCCAACAAGCCTGCGCCCGCTACCGCGTCCGCCCGGCACCCGCCACCACGTCCACCCCGCGCCCACTTGGCTACTATGGACACTCAATGGAAGAATTTATGTTTGAGTACGTCGCGCCGCTCCTGCCCCGCGTCCGCGTTTGCAGTCTGGCCAAGCACTTAAAGTAAAAAGGGTGTTAAAACTCAATTAGGTATGCATCAAAACTTTGTGAGAATAGATTGTAAATGTAAGGTTAGTTTAGGGACCTATTTTGTGTAAAACTGAGATCCAAAAATGTTGGCATGAAACTTCTTATATCCCTTGTACTTGATTAGGTAATCAAACACCGAAATCTTTTCAATTTTTACGAAACCACAAATTAGCATATTTATCCATAAATATAGTCTAGAATGCTCTGAGTATTTTTCTCTATTTGTTTGTACCTTGTTCGAAACTTGTTCGAAAATTAATCCAGACAGGCATGCAAACTTTTCAAGAATGGTAACTCATTCATGGTTATGAGTGCCAAAATCAATAATTAATATAAAAAACAAATTTAGTATATTTTTCACTTAAAGGTATCAGTTGTACTTCTATTATAATCATTCCTTCATCTGTGGAATCAATGTCTACTTTGTTTGATAATGTAATTTTTTTATTATTATTTCTTCCAGATTGTTTAAAATTCGTAAGCCTTATATTTACCTGCTAGTTTTACAATAAGATTGCCTACTAAATATAGTTTTTTTTTTAATTAAATATCTAACTAATACGTAATTGTTCGTATTCGAATCGTAATCGACTTATATTAGAAGACGCCAATTTATCATACATCCTAGTTGGTCTAATGTGAATCAACCTACATACTCAGATTTAATTCTTTTCTTAATTATTTTGGGGCTTTGTATAATTTTGCTTACTGTTCTACGCTTTACCTACACCATATGATCTCGGTTTCGGTTTTTATTTCTTCAAGTGCAAAATATCTTTAAGTTAAGTAAGTCTTTAAGTTAATTGTTTATGACTTAAAATATTAAGGAAATAACAAAACATACATATTCAATGATCAAGTTCCCGGTGATTGATGGGTAATTAAAAATAAAAAACCTTTTTAGAGTGGCAGAAAGACCAACTAACGCTCAGATTTACTCAAATTTTACGAAAGTGCGAGCAGAAAGAACTATATGGAAAAAAATCTGGATATTCTCTTCAAAATCTTTATTATTGTTTCTAACTAAATCAACAGCCAATAATAGCATCTCTTCTTTTCTCAAACGTCTATTCTTTATTTGACACGACTTTTAGAGGTATCATGAATATATCAGAAATAGGTAATTAAACAAATTTGTTACTTATGTATTGCTGTCACACCAAATTATTTCATAAACTGTTGTAATATTGTAATAAATTATACAAAGTATTTTAATTAACTCTTTTATTAACACGATCACACGATGTATTGTTTTACAAGGTTCATGAGAGAAAGAGAGAAAAAAACTTTAATAAAAACTATCTCTTCCCCACAAATATTTCCAATTGTATTTTAACAGCCCCGCTCAATGCAATACTTATTATATAACTTACAATACAATACAATACAATACTCTTTATTGTACACCAACAAAACATAAATATAACAAATAATGAACAAATAATGAGGGATAAACAAAAGGCGGTCTTATTGCTACATAGCAATCTCTTCCAGACAACCCAGAAGAGGAAATTAATAAAAATAAAAATAAGATTAATGGGTAGGATGCACTAAATTAGACAAAAAAAATACAACTTATATACATGAAATTACAACATACTTAAGGTATATTAGTGACCATAACTAAGAGGCGAAAGAGAGAGGAGTTAAAGAGACAAATAGTGTTCCTTAATTTGTTTCTTGAACACATTTAAAGATTGAGCACTTTTAATGGACTGGGGTAAGGAGTTCCAGAGTCTTACTCCTAGAACAGCAAAAGATTTATCACAAAATGTCGAGGAGTGTACAGGACATTGGAGCGAAAGATTTACTTTGGACCGTAAGGAAAAATCGTGACAAGAGCTAAGAAATTTAAAACGTTCTTTCAGATAGAGAGGACAAGGTATCAAACATTAAATAAGACGCAGTAGAGCGCAGAAAGTATATGAGTATTCCGACGAAGACGGATTGGGAGCCACTTGAGTTTAGTGCGGTATTCCGAGACATGGTCATATTTACGAAGCCCAAATATTAACCGTATACAGAGATTTTGGAGTCGCTCAAGTTTATTAAGTTGCTCCTCGGTGATATCAAGCTAACAAATGTCAGCATAGTCGAGGATAGGGAGTAGCAAAGATTGTGCAAGTGCAATTTTGGTGGAAATGGGTAAAAAGTAGTTAAGCCTTCGGAGTGAAGCATAAGCCGCAAACATTTTTCGGCTCACTGCATTAATTTGGGGTGTCCAGGACAGACTGGAATCCAAAAGGATACCTAAATTTTTAACTACTTCATTATATGGAATAAGAATACCGTTAAATACAACGGGTTGAATTTGACATTTTTTAATTTTGGAAATAGTTCTTAACTCCCAATAATTATAGCTTGCGATTTTGAAGGGTTAACCGTCAACCCATAAGATCGTGTCCAGTCGAGAATAAAAGCCAGATCCTTGTTAATACATTCAACAGCTTTGGCAAGATCTTCGATGGTTGTTTGTAAATATATTTGAAGGTCATCTGTATACAAGTGGTAGAGAGAAGATATTTGGGATGTAATCGTATTAATAAAGATTGCGAATAAAAGAGGAGATTAGACACCACCTTTTGGAATGCCAGCTACGGTATCAAGCCACGAAGAAAGTCTATCTTGGACACGAATACGTTGCCGGCGCCCGTGCAAATAACTATGAAACCAGGAAATTGCAGTTGGAGATATGTTAAGAGAACGCAGATTCCCTAACAGGATATCACGATCAACAGTATTGAAGGCATTGCTGAAATCCAGCAACTCCAATACTGTGACTTGATGATTCTCCATACCGTGACGAATGTCGTCGGTGATTTTTAATAACGCCGTAGTCGTTATCCAAAATGCAGACCTAAAATCACAAAAGAAATCTATAACAGACCATATCTAGTAACCAATTTAAACAATAGTTCTCCGTTTAATGACTTGGTGCATATATCAGCAATTTGATATTCAGTCTTTACATACATTAAACATATTTTACCGTCTTTAATTAAATCTTTGACAAAATTATATCGTATATCAATATGTTTCAATCCTTTAATATTATCAGTTTGTGGCATTATGGCTGCTTGATTGTCACAATACATGGATACTGGATATAAATTTGTAATATAAAAGTATTTTAATAGACGTCCAAAATACTCAACCTAAGTTGATGATGAGCTCACTGAGCACTGTTTCTTGGAACACCATGATATGAGACAGTTGGAAAACGTGAAACAATAGCCAGTGGTAGACTTTATGTCTCCTAAGTCCCCACCCCTATCTACATCGCAATTACCCATAAGTTCATCATCATTACATTTGTAAAGTAACTTATAAAGTGTGTTTCACTTATCTTAAAACTCTTTTTAAAGGAGTTAGCAATATACAGTTCTAAAGCACGAGTAGTCGTCTTTTAACATTAGAAAGTATCTTGTTCCTCCAACGGATACTTCCTCCATGGGTAGCTTTTGTATCGCTACTCGTAGTATTAAAGGGAAAACGATGTGCTTTACCCCTATACAACCTTGATACATCTTAAAGGAATCGTCAGATACTTTGATGCTAATGTTCGATAATACGCACTTTACATGCTTTATATTGTGATTCACAATATCATTGTGCCACTCTATTAAACTTGATTTAACATCTGTAACGTTTGCGAGGTCGCATTTAAAATGAACGTCTATAATATACATATTTCCCTACCCTATTTTCGTTGAAAAACTTGCAAATGTTTTGGTCTGTCGTCATGATATAACCTCTATCTGCCGCTTGATTCAACTAGAATAGATTTATTTTAAGTCAGA